GTCAGCTTGGAAGCCATTTTTTCTTTGAGGCTTCTGGGCTGCCACATTCAGCGTCTGGGAATTTGAGAGGGGGGATTTCAAGGAGTGGTGGAAGATTAGCCACAACAACATTCCTTTCTCAGAAAGTCAAGGCCATGTCACCTTGCACTGGGGAGTGACTGGGCGTAGTCTCCAGTTGGAACGAAGTGAGGATTGGACAGTGTGATGGACAGCTGGTTGCAGGGGTTGGATTTTGGGTTTTCTTGGGGTTAGGGAAAACCCAGAACTCTCAGATTCGGGTGTTCCCCAGATGTGCCAATATGACATCTCTAATAAAGTGGATCTTTGGGAAGACGATATTCTCGGAGTCTCGTTCTTTGGAGGTTGTTACTTGGAATCCTGACACCTTCGCGGTTTCCAGAGAAGCCCCATGGGCCAGATCTAAGCACCGGCCCGCATGCCTTGAGCTTGATACCCCTGATTTAAGTAAACATATCAAAGCAAGGCACCAAGGGACCTCTCTGGTCTCCAACCTGGCCAATATCTTAAGGCCGTGATGGAGAACCTATGGCATGCGTGCTACAGGTGGCACGCAGATCCATTTGTGTGGGCACGTGAGCCCCAGCCAAACTTACCTGCATTGCGCATGCACGCATCTCACAGCTGATTTTCAGCCCAGTTGAGGCCTTTTTCGCCCTCCCGGAGGCTCAAGGGAAGCCAGAAATACCAGAAGTGCCCGTTTTCCGCCTCCGGAGAGCCTCTGGAGCCTGAGGTCGTTTTCCCCCTTCCGGGGGCTCAAGAGAAGCCTCTGCAGCCTTTGGAGGCCAAAAAACAGGCCCGTTTCGGCACTTCCGGTAAGCTGGGAAGTGCGCGTATGCACAGTGCAGGTAAGGGGGGGGTGTTGTGCACACATGCACAGGGGGGAGCGGGGCGCATTGCATTGTGGGTGCCGACATGCGCGCGCTATCTTCCCACAGAAGTGGTACCTATTTATCTACTCGCATTTGCATGCTTTCAAATTGCAAGGAGCTGAGGGAAGTAATAGGAGCTCACCCCGTTGTGCAGCGCTCAGGTCTCAAACCCAGCCTCAGTTTTGCTGCTTAACGCCATCACATTAAATGCATTTAAATATTTAAAATACACACACACACACCTCTGTTTCTCAGATAGAAAAAGACTGAGCAAGGGCATGCATTTTTAACTGTGGGTGAGTTTTTTTTACCTTGCAGAATGAATTTTCGGCTTGCAAAGCCCCCCTGGAACTGAATCTGAATTTGAGATGCCTGGACAGTCTGAGGAAATTCCATTGTCAGCCACTGGATGGCACCCTAATATAGCAAAAAGAGGAGATCACCAGCTTAAGATAAATTCAAATAAATAGAAAAATACAGAAGGGCAAATATTATGAAAATAAAAAGATTTCTGTCCAAGATTTCTCTCTCTCTCTCCCTCCCTCCCTCCTCCCTCTCTCTTACCCCCTCCCTCCCACACAATAGCAGCTGCACCAGTCTAATGTAGTGTTTTTCAACCTTGGCAACCTAAGGTGTGTGGACTCCAACTCCCAGAATTCCCCAGTTTTTCCCCCTCCAGCAATTCCCCAATTTGGGCCAGTCCCTCACTCACACATCAGCCCATCTCACAGGAGGGTTGTTGTAGGGAAAATGAGAGGTGAGGAATATTAGGTATGTTCACCACCTTGAGTAAGTTATACAAAATAATAAAGGTGGGATAAAAAAAAAAACAAGCATTGGCCCAGCTCGCAAATGAGTTGTAAGGTTCATAAGAAATGTTGGTGAATGCTCCAGGCAAAAGTAGGATGTTACTTATAAGACGTCACCTGGTCTGAGTTCCAACTAGTTTCCTCATTTCTGTCAAACATGTACTTCTTTCCAAATTGCTTCACCTCTCGGTTGAGAACAGAGCTCACCCTAATAAGAATGCAGAAAATAACAAGGAAGAGTGAAGGAGAGTTTCTTTTCCAAATTTCAGCATAAAAGCTAACCAGGAGCAGAGAAATTTTGCACTTTTAATTACAGAATAAGACAACTGGAAGGGACCCTGAAGGTCTTCTAGTCCAACACCCTGCTCAAGCAGGAAACCCTATTCTCGTGATGGCATGCCACAGGTGGCACGCAAAGCCATTTGTGCTGCCATGCAAGCTTCAGGCAAACTTACTTCACTGCACACGTGCATGCCTTACAGCTGATTTTCAGCCGGTTTGAGGCCTTTTTCAGCCTCCCAGAGGCTTGAGAAAGGCTTCTGCAGGCTTCTGCAAGTTTTGTAGGCCGAAAACTAGCCCCGTTTCGTCACTTCCGGTATTTTCAGAGAAACAGGAAGTGACAAAACAGGGCTAGATTTTGGCCTACAAAGCTTGTAGAAGCCTGCAGAAGCCTTCCCCAAGCCTTTGGGAGGCAGAAAAAGGCCTCAAACTGGCCGATAATCAGCTGTGAGGCGCAGTGCAGGTAAGGGGGTGGTGGGGATTGCGCGCGCATGCGTAGGGGACGTAGGGGGGCGTGCATTGCCTTCTGGGTGCTGGCATTGAGCGCAAGCGTGCAAGCGTGTGCACAATTTTTGGCACAGGAGCCCAAAAAGGTTAGCCGCCACTACCCTATATCATTTCAGACAAATGGTTGTCCAATCTCTTCTTGAAAACCTCCAGCAATGCAGCACCCAAAACTTCTAGAGGCAAGCCATTCCGCTGATTAATAGTTCTGAGAGGGAATTTCTCCATACAGATAGTCCTCGACTTACAACAGTTTGTTTAGTGACCATTTGCAGTTCCAACAGCATCGAAAAAAGTGACTTATGACCATTTTTACACACTTGGATGACTGCTACAGCATAGTCACATGATCAGATGCTTGGCAACTGGTTCTCATTTATGGCGGTTGCAGTGTCCCGGGGTCATGTGATCAGCTTTTGCGACCTTCTGATTGACAAAGTCAATGGGAAAGCCAGGTTGACTGAACAACTGCGTTACTCAACTTAATAACTGCAGAGAGAAAGGTTGTAAAATGAGGCAAAACTCACTTAACAACTGTTTTGCTTAGCAACAGGATTTTTGGGTTCAATTGTGGTTGTAAGTCAAGGACTACCTGTCATTCTAGGTTGGATCTCTCTTTGATAAGATTTCATCTGTTGTTCTTGGTCCTTTCAAAAATGAAGATCCAAAGATACACTCACCTGCTTATGGTTTCAGAGCAAATTAGGGAAGCTACAGCCATGTCTTTTGTTTCCGGTCAGATAAAACAGAGGTCAGCCGATGCCAAATAGAACAGTATGCGCGCACATTCGTGTGTTCTTCCAATGACCGTAGTCGATTACTTTGATTAAAGAAGAATCAGAACAGAATGAATTAGGGATCAGTCTTATCAGAGGATTCTTAGAACTAACACACATTTAGATATTCAACACTGTAGATCTATGCTTCTCACCTTTGGCAGCTTTGAAGATAAGTGGACTTCAATTCCCAGAATTCCCCAGCTGGCTGCGGAATTCTGGGAGTTGAAGTCAACCCATCTTCAAGTTGCCAAGGTTGAGTAACATTGCTCTAGACCAGGGGTGTAAAACTCGCAGCATCAAGCCGGCACCACGTGACATATTGCGTCTTTTTTCCCTTTCGCTAAACCAGAGGTGGGCGTGGCCAGCATGACACATCTGCCCAGCGGGCTGTGAGTTTGACACCCCTACTCTAGACTACTTATATAGCTCCTCTCTATTCTGGCCTTCCAAATTAAGTCCAAATCCTGCCTGCTGGATTTGATTGGTCATACTATGAATTTATAATCCATTGACTCCACATTTGAACTGACTATGGTTGATCATTTATTGACTTTTAACTTTGTTAGCTGCCCAGGGTTGCTGTAGTGAAATGAACCTAAATGGATCAAAATAAAGTTAAAAATAAAGTTACACTCAAACAGGGAACCACAATTAAGTGAACAATGCTTTTAAGGTAGAAACTGGACTAAGGATGAGTTATCGTGTAATTATTAGAACCATAGTTTAAACATGTTGACTTCTTTCAAGATTTAACAACAAACCCTCAATGAGTTCAAACCTATAACTGGATGTTTATTCAAGCAATAGAGGATTAGAATCGAGTTGGAAGGGACCTTGGAGGTCTTCTAGTCCAACCCTCTGCTCAGGCTGGAAAACCCTATACAATTTCAGAAAAATGGCTGTCCAATCTCTTCTTAAAAACTTTCACTGTTGGAGCATCCACAACATTTGGAGGCAAGTTGTTCCACTGATTGATTGTTCTGTCAGAAATTTCTCCTGAGTTTTAGGTTGCTTCTCTCCTTGACTAGTTTCCATCCGTTGCTTCTTGTCCTGCCTTCAGGTGCTTTGGAGAATAGTTTGACTCCCTCTTCTTTGGGGCAGCCCCTGAGATATGGGAACACTGCTATCATGTCATCCCAGTCCTTCTTTTCATCAGACTAGATATACCCAGTTCCAACAACTGTTCCTTATATATTTTAGCCTCCAGTCCCCTAATCATCTCTGTTGCTCTTCTCTGCACTCTTTCTAGAGTCTCAACATCTTTTTTTACATTGTGGTGACCAAAACTGGATGCAGTATTCCAAGTATGGCCTCACCATTAAGCAGATTTTAATGTTACATTTGGGATAATTGTCATTTTTATAGATGTATTAACTGTAATTCTAGACCTACTATGTGATCTAGTAATTAAGGCACCAAAACAGAAACTGGGAGATTGTGAGTTCTAGTTCTGCCTTTGGCATAAAAGCTGACCGGGTGACTTTGGACTAGGCCAGTGATGGCTAACCTTTTCAGCTTGGTGTGTCGAAAATCGGGAAAAAGTGTAGCCTTCCTCGGGTCGTGTGTCACTTCAAGAAATATCAATAATTTGGTTTATGACGGACTGGGCTGGGGTGATCACACAGGGCTGTGAAACTCATCTCCCTGGTCTCAGGGCTGCAGGTGCAGGATGTGGGGATCGGAAGGCCACCTTACAGGGCTGTGAACCTCATGGATCTCCTTTCCTCCTGTAGCATTCCTGAGGTAATGAAACTGACAAACCTCAGTTTATGGCGGTTAAAACTGGTTCTCTGCTGCAAAGATCTCGCGGCAGCGGTGACACCACGCCTCCACGCAACAAGCAGGGAGCAGGGATTGGAGCAGAGCACAGGCAGCCTCTAAATGTGCAGGTTTTCCCCACACCAACAGGCGTGTCAGTCAAAGTGCCTCGGCGTGTCACGAGTGACGCGCGTGTCATAGGTTAGCCATCACTGGACTAGGCACTCTCAGCCCTATCCACCTCACAGGGTTGTTGTTGTGGGGAAAATAGAAGGATGAAGGAATATTAGCTTAATAGGCTGCCTTGAGTTTTTATAAAAATAATAAAGGCAAGACACAATAAGTAAATAAATACATGAATAAAATTAATTGAAGCCATTAGAGAGCAATAGAAAGAAGGACCCATGCTGGGCTCACTGAAGGATGAACTATTCAAAGTATAGCGCAAACAGAACTATCAACAATAACAATAAAAACAACTTGATTTTATCTGTAGAATTATATCAGGTTTTTATTTTAACTGCTGGTTTCCCCATTTTCTCTCAGTTCTATTTTTTTTAAAGTCACCCTACTTAAAGATTATTTGCAACACAATGTGTCCTAGAATATTGTTACAGTAATTCAAAGAGTATTTTAATTAAAATAGTTAAAAAGAGTCAAATTCCACAGGGTCTCAGATAACAGATAATCAGAGTTGGAAGGGTCATCTAGTCCAACCCCCTGCCCAAGCGGGATATACCACAGTGTCTCAGATAACAGATAATCAGAGATGGAAGGGTCATTTAGTCCAACCCCCTGCCCAAGCAGGAGACCCTACACCATTTCTGACAAATGGCAGTCCAATCTCTTCTTGAAAGTCTCAAGTGATGACATGTGAACTCACACGTGGTTATAGATAGTTTACTGAAGTAAATCAAAAGTAACTGGGTTTATACATCCTGGTAAGCTCTAAACCATGGTGTACAAAGCTGCAGCAGCTGCTCTTATACAACACACTAACGCCAGCATCAAACTAATCATACTGTGGATTAGAAGAATATCTGGGCCTCACCAATAATGCAGGCTCTTCATTTTCTATAGTTTCTGTTCTCTATATGTCTGAACTTCAGTTCCCAGAATTCCCCATCTAGCACAACCAACTCTCTGCTAAGGATTCTGGGAATTGAAGTTCCACACATATGCCTAGAATGCCTAGGTCAGGGGTCTTCAAACTTGATAGCTTTAAGACTTATGGATTTCAACTCCCAGAATTCCTCCTCCAGTCATGTTAGCTCAGGAATTCTGGGAGTTGAAGTCCACAAATCTTAAACTTGCCAAGTTTAAAGAGCATTGGTCTAGGTAGAGAAAGACGTATTTTAAATCTCTTGATTTCTGAAGACACCCACCTATTATATTTAGCCTTACAATTAAGCTATGGTTAAAAACATTGATTTTTAATTAGGCTTTAAACTGAATTAACATTTTAATTAAAAGATTAACACTTTAATGGCTAAACATCTATAAACATTAGGTTTTAACATTAGTACAATCTCATTGTACACATGTTGTGCATTGACAATAAAGGATTATTAGTATTAGTGTTATTAAGTATGAAGAGTCACAATCTTGACCAAATTTTACTCCCAGGAAATCTTTTTCCCCTCTGTCAAGCTATGTTTTCCAGGAGACCTGCTTTAACTTACTTAATTAGTTTCTAAGCTATCTTTGAAGATAAAAAAAACCATCCTAGTACAGTTAGTCCTGAACTTTATTTATTTATTTTATTTATTTGATTTGCCAATTGTTTACAAGATAATAAGTATAAGTGTATACATAGTTGTGAATACATGAAATGGGTACATATAAGAAAAATAAAAGAAGAATAAGAGAAACAAATAGGACAGGGACGGTAGGCACGTTGGTGCGCTTATGCACGCCCCCTACAGACCTCTTAGGAAAGGGGTGAGGTCAATAGTAGACAGTCTAAGGTTAAAGTTTTTGGGGTTTGGGGAAGAAACTACAGAGTCGGGTAGAGTATTCCAGACATTGACCACTCTATTGCTGAAGTCGTATTTCCTGCAATCAAGTTTGGTGCGGTTAACTTTGAGTTTGTATCTATTGTGTGCTCTTGTGTTGTTGTGGTTGAAGCTGAAGTATTCATTGACAGGTAGGACATTGCAATGTATGATTTTATATACCATGCTTAAATCAGACCGAAGACAACCACAACTGAACTTACAACCACAACTGAACTCAAAATTTATGTTGTTCAGTGAGAAATTTTTTAAATGAGTTTTAACCCATTTTACGACTTTTCTCACATTTGTTAAGTGCAGGAGGTCTTCAAACTTGACAGCTTTAAGACTTGCGGACTTCAACTCCCAGAATTCCTCCTCCAGTCATGTGAGCTCAGGAATTCTGGGAGTTGAAGTCTGCAAGTCTTAAACTTGCCAAGTTTGGAGACCTCTGGACTAAGCAATTGCATGCACAAAAGGCAAAAGAGCAGGGGCCAGGGAAAACGTTGGCAACCGGCTTTTCCTACTGACCTGCAAATTTGGCAGAGCGAAGCAGACACCGATACACCCCCTTTTCTATGTATATTTCTTATTCTCTCCCATCCAGGCAGAAGAAAAAAGCCACAGAAGCAGGAACAGAAGCAAAGAGCAGCAGAAATTCGCCTCGTGCCAGTCACACTTCCGGTTTCCTGCAGCCCTGGAAAATCTTAAAGAGACACGACCGAAAAAGACCTGCCAATAAATACATAAATTGTAATCCAAAATTTGCATCACGCCTCTTCCTCCACTAGGTGGCGGTAGCAGCGCAGCGGAGAGAAAATCAGGACAGGATATTAAAAACGGAATTAACAGAGTTGGAAGGGCTCTTGTAGGCCATCTAGTCCAACCCCCTGCCCAAGCAAAGAGATCCAGTCCAGCCTCTTCTTAGGTAGCAGTTAACAACCATGCAAAATTGCAGAATAAATTTCCAGGAGGTTTAAAGGAAAAGCTCAACCTTGTTAGGCAGTGAGATTCTTTTTTTTTTTTTTTTGCAAAAGGAGAAAAATTACACAAAGTAACAGTAATAGTACAGGTAGTCCTCAACTTATGACCATGATTAAACCCCAGGTTTTTGTTGCTAAGGGAGACATTTGTTAAATGACTTTTACCTCACATTACGACCTTTCTTGCCACAGTTGTTAAGTGAATCACTGGTGCTATTAAGTTAGTAACACGGCTGTTCAGTGAATCTGGCTTCCTTGTTGACTTTGCTTGTCAGAAGGTCGCAAAAGGGGATCGCATGACCCCAAGGCATGTCATAAATATGAGTCAGTTCCCAAAAGCATCTGATTTTTGATCACGTGACCATGGGGATTGTTAGGAATGTAAGTCACCTAACAGGTATTTGAGTTGAAAATATATAAACCAGGATAAACATTTTAAAACTGTATCTTTAAGAGAATCCTAAAATTGTAATTGGGTGTGGTTTCTCAAACAGCCCTAAGATGGAGCCAGAAACCTGGGTTGTTTTAGTCTTAGTCTCAGAAGAAGTCTCAGTGTTTCCTTCTGTTGGAGAATATTGCCATTCCTTCTAATTGACTGATATTTCTGGATTCGATGTAAGTCTGATACTGAATGTTTTTGATACTGGACTTTATTATTGGATTATCCCTGGATGAAAACTGACTGATTTTACCTGTGAATGACTTTGGACTGCTTGTTTTTGAACTTTGCTTAAACCTTTCTGGAAGTAAAAACCTACATTTACTGTACAGTGTATCTGTGTGCTGTGTGTGTATTATTCAAACACTACTCTCAATACGTCTCCCTGTATGCGCTCATTCTCCTAACGGGGAATTACCTCAACAGGGATAATGCAACAATTGCAAGTGTGAAAAACGGTCATAAGTCACTTTTTCAGGGCCGTTTTAACTTTGAATGGACACTAAGTGAACTGTTGTATTCCGGGGACCTGTCGATATAATAAATGATAAATATCATTATATCTTACTTGAATAACTTTTATCCAGTCCTCAAGCTATCTTTGGCCTCTTTTAGCAGCCCCATCCAACAGGAATGAAAAACTGCTGGTGACCTTCTACCGCTGCACCATAGAGAGTATCTTAACTTACTGCACCTCTGTATGATTTGCCAATTGCACAGTGGCTGATAGGAAAGCACTCCAGAGAGTTAATGTCATTGCCCAGAAGATCATTGGTTGCCTTCTCCCCTCTTTGGAAGAGCTTTATAGCTCCCGCTACCTTAAGAAAGTTCAAAACATTCTCAAAGATCCATCTCATCCTAGGAACCCCCCTTTTTTTAACTATTACCATCTGGCAGACAGTACAGGATAATAAAAACAAGGACAAATAGGCTGAAAACAGCTTCTATCCCAGGGCAGTAACTCTATTGCAATCTACTGTATAGTGCAATATTAATGCAATATCAGGGGTTTTCAATTCAATGTATAGAATGTGAAGGATGTGTGTTTCTGTTTATTTTCAGTCATAATGTATACTGTAGATGGTATTTAATTTCGTTGTACGAGGTGCAATGGCAGTGTAGGAAGTTATCACCCACCGCTCTCCTAGAAAAATGAAATATCCTAGGAAATATGAAAAAGGCAGAATATTTCCCCTAAAAAGAGTAGAAACTCAGAAGCAGAAACTCAGCCCGCCCACCTTTGCTAATGGGCCATTACTCTGGCCTAGGCCAGCCTATTTTACATAACAAAGATCTCCAAAGCCCTTTCATTACATCATCACCCAGCAAGGCTCAACCAAGCCTGGGACTCAGGACAACCTACAGAGTTGCCCCTACATGGCCCTATGGGAGTCTGACAACCAATCAGAATACAAGCTCAAATCCAAATCCCAACAGAGGGTATAAAACCCAGGCACACTCAGCATCTCAGCCCTTCCTTCTTTTCCTTCATCTTGAAGCATGTGATCATCCTTTTCACTTTGGAGCTCCAAGCCACGTGGCCCTGTCCACCATTAAACCATCTTTCCAAAAAGCCTCCGTGTTTCCAGTGTCTTCCTCCCCACTTGGAACTGAACCAAGAAGGATATTTCTTCCAACAACAATAAAGTAGACTAAACTAAACTTCTGACTCATATCTGGTTTGTGTACAAACTCCTGTTCCAAAATTGCTTTTTACTAGAACGATTGTCAGGTCAGAGATCCTCCCTTCGTACACCTGCATATTTAATTTCGGCTTCCTTCATGGAGAAATTGCATTTGCAAATTGCACGCTGTGAGTTTTGCAGCCCATTTTTACCGGAAGGCAGGAGGGCTGTTTGGAATGTGTATTTCAAGCCTGCAGGTTTGAGAAGCGTTTCCTCTGCCTCTTCAATTCGAGCAATTAAAAAAAAAAACAGATAGGGCAAAAAAAGAGGCTACAGAATTGAACCTTGGGGCACCCCCATATCACTCTCCTCCCTGGTTTGATGAGGAATTGCTGAAGAGCCCTCGGATATCATTTTCAAGCTAGCCCTGGGTCTCCTTAATTGTCATGCCATCCAACCCCACTTGCAAATTGAACTCCGTCATATCTGAAAAGAGCCACATTATTCCATTTCGTGCTCAAGTATTTCTCATTAGAGAATTCACAACATGAACGCAGGACATATCTTGTCTAATTATTTTTTTAAAAAATATGCCCTTCCGGACCAAATAGCCCCCTTGTATCTCTACTTAGGCATGGCTCATCTCTAGCTCAGGAAATTAGCTTTGTGACTTTCCTAAATCCTAAATTGACTTAGAGGGGAGGGAGTGCAAACCCCCACATTTTGGGGAGCTTCCTGCTTTTTGTGATGTGAACAGTTTTCCTGCAGAGATTTATTTATCTTTCTTTATCGAGCAAATGTAAACATGTCTATTAACATGTATGAATATCTTAAGTTTATATTTATTGAGCAAATCTGCATGTTACTATTAATATGTATTAATACCTTAAATGTATATTTATTAAGCAAATTTACATGTTTCTATTAATATGTATTAATTCCTTAAATGGATACCTCTTGAGCAAATTTGCATATTTCTATTGAGATGTATTAATATTTTAAATTTATATTTATTGAGCAAATTGATATCAGGCTGGCTCCCTCTTTACAGCTCTTTTAAAAACTTTTGAAGACTAAGCTATTTCAGAGGCTGGAATAGAATAGAATGGAATAGAATAGTTCTATAGTCCCGCCTTAAGCATGAAAGCTGGTTAGATGACTTTATTTATTTATTTATTTATTTTTATTTATTTATTTATTTGATTTGCCAATTGTTTACAAGATAATAAGTATAAGTGTATACATAGTTGTGAATACATGAAATGGGTACATATAAGAAAAATAAAAGAAGAATAAGAGAAACAATAGGACAGGGACGGTAGGCACGTTGGTGCGCTTATGCACGCCCCCTACAGACCTCTTAGGAAAGGGGTGAGGTCAATAGTAGACAGTCTAAGGTTAAAGTTTTTGGGGTTTGGGGAAGAAGACTTTGGGTCAATCTCCAGGAAACTGTGAGTTCTAGTCCCACCTTAGGTATGAAAACCAACTGGGTGACTTTGGGCCAGTCACCAGGAGACTGTGAGTTCTTATCCCGCTTTAGGCACAAAGCCAGCTGGTTGATTTTGGGACATTCCCTTTCTCTCTGCCCCCAGACCTGGGAAGGAGGCAATGGCAAAGCACTTTTGAAAAGCCTTGCCAAAGAAAAATGTAGAGATTTGCCCAAATAGTTGCCAAGAGCCAACACTGACTCAAAGACATAATCCCCTCTACACACACACATACCTGCTGTCAGGATTCCAGAGTTACCCCAATTAAATCATGAGTCTCAAGCCAGACTTCCAAAACTTCAAAAGGATTTATTGGGAGTTAACATGTCCGGCACTGCCTGGGTGTAGCCAACTCTGAGACACAGAATTCATTGTCACCCTTGACCCTGGTTTTCCCCCACCCCCTGGGTGTATTTTAATTCATATTCTCCAATTGGACACATCCATAGCCAAGAATCATCAGTCATGCTCTCCAGTTAGAATTTTGCGCGGCAGCAACTTCAGTCACCTAGTTACTATCTTTGAAAACTATTTATGGAATGCACTTTTGGTTTCCAAGCTGCTGCACTGCTCCCCTCCCTTTCTGTTGGCAACTCTAAAAAGACCATAGAAATATTTTATGAGTTGACACCTGCACACAAATCCAGAACGATCCTGCCTGTTCAATTCTTGGCTCAACTAAACTGATGTAGCTCAAAGCTGACCTCCTTCCATGGAGAGGCAGCATTTTCAGAGTGTCTGCATGTGACAGGTGTGTGGCCAAATGGTGACTGACAGGACACCAGTGACTCCCACACCTTCCTTTGCAATGGCCAGAGATCTTACTGGGCCAACTTTAAGTAGCCCTCACATCATAGCGTCAAATGCTTCAGCAGGTCCTTTCTGAAAAACAAGCAGTAAAAAAAAGATGTTAAGCATCAAAAAGAGCCAATGTACCGATTTTATTTTATTTTTTGTAGTGACATGGAACAAGGGACTGAACACCTAACACTCTGACCCTCTGTGGTTGCAACCATGTCCCTCTGTCACCATCAAGGCCCCTGCATTCTTTCTTTGCCTGCTGAAAATACGGGAAAATACAATTTATTTTCCTCCCCATTGCAAAAAGCTAGCCCTTGGCATAGAATCTTTCTC